AAAGTCAATTCACATGTAAACAATGAAATAGTGTATAGTCAGTTTCTAACCTGTGATTCTTTGTTATAATAAAGGCATGATATTCAATCATCGAAACGTGAAAATATATAATCTTCAGGATTAAATACACCTTCAGATTTATTGGCGGGGCAAGTATTTATTATGTGCAGGATCTTTCAAATAGCATTTGGAAGGATGTCATCCTCAAAATTAGCCCGATCAACGAAAAACTTCATTTCCCATCCGCCCTTGTTGACCGGTTTCAAGGGAAGTAAAATGTCGGCGATTGATGGGATGGGCCTCTTATTGTGCTTTTAAAAGAATAATATCTCAACCTTTAATACTGTATTTTAAACGTAAATTGCACGTTTTAGAAAATAAAGGGTAGTTGAAGATTGTGGATTTAAACGGACAAAACATATAACTGGATCTACGGTAATTAGTGCATGTATTTGACTGGTGTAGCTAGGAGGAGAGCTAACGTTAACGTACCTGGCTAGCTAGCTAACGTTACTGCTATTTCTGCCAGGTCTGGCTAGCTAACTACGAATCTGATTTCAGTGAAAACATGTGACGATTGTAATTAGTGTATTTCAAAGTGTTTCCTGCTAGTTAAGTTTGCTAGTTAAGTTAGTTGCTGTAGTTTGTCAGCCTAGTCAACTGATGTTGCAAGCAACAGACGAGAGTGCGGCCTGATCCAGGTATTTTGCAACAACTAACGTTAGCTAGCCACTGCCAGTTATAGCTAATGTAATGGCTAATTAGATAGCTAGCTGCTAGTTACGACCCAATCACTGTCTGAATGTCATTATCGAACATCTGTCGTGTTTTTCGCAGGAAATTATTGTTCTCACTTAGATGGGCATAGAGGAAGACACTGATGGAGACAGCCTGAATCCCAGAAAAAGGATTGTGCTGTAACTGTGCTTTCTCAAATTAATTGAGCGGTACCTTTGAAGTTGTGGGGTTTGTCTCAATAATTTTGTTTATGGTCATGTTGCAACTGATTTGAATTGAGGAATGCTTACATTTATTCACTGTAGGCTAAAGGTCTGTATACATTTTTCTAATATACCTGACGTGATAAACGATGTGGCACAGACGGGGGTCATCACACACTACACTTCAGAACAAAATTTGATTTGACTTATGTCTCTTCAGACAAAGACTCCAGCGAAGAGGAAACAGAGAAGGATGAAAAAAGGAGTAGGACGAGGTTGAGGTGTTACCAAGGTGATAGGGAGAGCCCAAATGACGAGCCTAGCGAGCTGGTGAGTGTGATTGTGTGTGTTTTTAAAGCTCTTACACTGACTGTAGCAGTTATTAATGTGTGTGTTCGTCTGTCTGTCCCCTTAATATAGGGAGCTGCCATTACTGCAACCCCCGAACCACTTCCCTCCCTGGTCTCTCTTCACTGCTCTCCACAGCATCTCCTCGACAGGTAATGCTGGTGTACACTACATTACTTAAAAAATACACTGCTCAAAAAAATAAAGGGAACACTTAAACAACACAATGTAACTCCAAGTCAATCACACTTCTGTGAAATCAAACTGTCCACTTAGGAAGCAACACTGATTGACAATAAATTTCACATGCTGTTGTGCAAATGGAATAGACAACAGGTGGAAATTATAGGCAATTAGCAAGACACCCCCAATAAAGGACTGGTTTTGCAGGTGGTGACCACAGACCACTTCTCAGTTCCTATGCTTCCTGGCTGATGTTTTGGTCATTTTTGAATGCTGGCGTTGCTTTCACTCTAGTGGTAGCATGAGACGGAGTCTACAACCCACACAAGTGGCTCAGGTAGTGCAGCTCATCCAGGATGGCACATCAATGCGAGCTGTGGCAAGAAGGTTTGCTGTGTCTGTCAGCGTAGTGTCATTTACATTTACATTTTAGTCATTTAGCAGATGCTCTTATCCAGAGCGACTTACAGTTAGTGAATACATATTTTTTTATACTGGCCCCCCGTGGGAATTGAACCCACAACCCTGGCGTTGCAAACGCCATGCTCTATCAACTGAGCTACATCCCTGCCGGCCATTCCCTCCCCTACCCTGGACGACGCTGGGCCAATTGTGCGCCGCCCATGAGTCTCCCGGTCGCGGCCGGCTGCGACAGAGCCTGGATTCGAACCAGGATCTCTAGTGGCACAGTTAGCACTGCGATGCAGTGCCTTAGACCACTGCGCCACTCAGAGCACGGAGGCGCTACCAGGAGACAGGCCAGTACATCAGGAGATGTGGAGGAGGCCGTAGGAGGGCAACAACCCAGCAGCAGGACTGCTACCTCCACGTTTGTGCAAGGAGGAGCAGGAGGAGCACTGCCAGAGCCCTGCAAAATGACCTCCAGCAGGCCACAAATGTGCATGTGTCTGCTCAAACGGTCAGAAACAGACTCCATGAGGGTGGTATGAGGGCCCGACGTCCACAGGTGGGAGTTGTGCTTACAGCCCAACACCGTGCAGGACGTTTGGCATTTGCCAGAGAGAACCAAGATTGGCAAATTCGCCACTGGCGCCCTGTGCTCTTCACAGATGAAAGCAGGTTCACACTGAGCACATGTGACAGACGTGACAGAGTCTGGAGACGCCGTGGAGAACGTTCTGCTGCCTGCAACATCCTCCAGCATGACCAGTTTGGCGGTGGGTCAGTCATGGTGTGGGGTGGCATTTCTTTGGGGGGCCGCACAGCCCTCCATGTGCTCGCCAGAGGTAGCCTGACTGCCATTAGGTACCGAGATGAGATCCTCAGACCCCTTGTGAGACCATATGCTGGTGCGGTTGGCCCTGGGTTCCTCCTAATGCAAGACAATGCTAGACCTCATGTGGCTGGAGTGTGTCAGCAGTTCCTGCAAGAGGAAGGCATTGATGCTATGGGACTGGCCCGCCCGTTCCCCAGAACTGAATCCAATTGAGCACATCTGGGACATCATGTCTCGCTCCATCCACCAACGCCACGTTGCACCACAGACTGTCCAGGAGTTGGCAGATGCTTTAGTCCAGGTCTGAGAGGAGATCCCTCAGGAGACCATCCGCCACCTCATCAGGAGCATGCCCAGGCGTTGTAGGGAGGTCATACAGGCACGTGGAGGCCACACACACTACTGAGCCTCATTTTGACCTGTTTTAAGGACATTACATCAAAGTTGGATCAGCCTGTAGTGTGGTTTTCCACTTTAATTTTGAGGGTGACTCCAAATCCAGACCTCCATGGGTTGATAAATTAGATTTCCATTGATAATTTTTGTGTGATTTTGTTGTCAGCACATTCAACTATGTAAAGAAAAAAGTATTTAATAAGATTATTTCAGTCATTCAGATCTAGGATGTGTAATTTTAGTGTTCCCTTTATTTTTTTTGAGCAGTGTATTTCCTGTAATCTTTTGTCTTGCCAACGTAGTGGTGTGCACACTAAACGTTTTGGCAGAGACGGGAGGTCCCACACTATAAAATTCTTCACTTGGTTGTGAGGATTCTTGATACCACGCTGTCTCGCGAAAACAATGATTTGATGCTTTGGTTAACCTCTTAAGGATCAGACCCTTTTTTTCAATATTCGCCTAAAATGACATACCCAAATCTTACTGCCTGTAGCTCAGGACCTGAAGCAAGGGTATACATATTCTTGATACCGTTTGAAAGGAAAGACTTTGAAGTTTGTGGAAATGTGAAATTAATGTAGGAGAATATAACATTAGATCTGGTAAAAGATAATACAAACAAAAAAACATGTGTTTTCTATTATACATTTTTTCCATCATCTTTGAAATGCAAGAGAAAGTCCACAATATAATATTGCAGTTTAGGCGCAAATTAGATTTTGGCCGCTAGATGGCAGCAGTGTGTGTGTGCAAAGTTTCAGATTGATCCAGTGAAGCATTGCAATACTGGACAATTTTGTATCAAGTCTGCCCAAATGTGCTGAATTGGTCAAGTACATAACTATAGAGAACATACAAAAATGATATGGTAATACAAAATGTAAGTTTACACACTCCCAGGAATGTCACACATGACGGATCATTAGTTTATACACTAACTTTCACACATCTAGATGGCCGGGCGGGGTGGGTGTGGCGCCAGAGACAGCAGGGGTTCAAACTGTAGAACCCAGTTCCTACATTTTAAAATAAAAATGGATTTGATCAAACAAAACAATGCTACATTTTAACTCTGGGACCCTTAGGATGACAAATCAAAGCAAGATTATTGAATGTAAGTACATTATTTACCTTCAGAGGTGAATGTATCAAACCAGTTGGCGTGATAAGTTTTTTGTTGTGCACTCTCCTCAAACAATAGAATGGTATTTTTTCACTGTAATAGCTACTGTAAATTGGACAGTGCAGTTAGATTAACAAGAATGTAAGCTTTCTGCCCACATAAGACATGTCTATGTCCTGGAAAGTTTGCTGTTACAACAGTCATGCTAATCACATTAGCGCACGTTAGCTCAACCGTCCCGTATACGGGACACCGATCCCGTAGAGGTTAAAGGCAAGTACAAATGCATGCTAGTAGTATTCATCGCTCTTGTTTAAGAGTACACATTCTTGCTGATGCGAAACGTCATCATCACTGGTAGGATCTCATTGGCTATTGCTGATCACCGTTCTCAAAACTTGTCGTTAAATATCTCACACTACAAGAGCATTGCAGATTTAGCAACGATAAAATCCAACATTTTTGAAAATATCGGCACGTCTCAAAGACGGGATCGGTAGCCCTCAGATTTCTTCTCTGAACCGCTCACATTAAATGAGCATCGGTGACAGCCGCGCGCCCTGAGTAGGCAAAAACATGGGGATTTTGTCTCCGATCTCAAACTTGTTTAGGACAGCTAAATTGGGGCCAAAATCATATGCCTGGCTTAAGAGAGGATGTCAGAGTGAAAAGTAAGCTGAAATGTATGGGAGAGTGAGACACCAATATAATAAATTACATAACAGGGAATTTAGATGTGCAAGTTTCACTATGCGTGGTTTCATGAGTGATGTATTTGTATTCCAGTTCTGACCTTGAAGTGGAGTTGACAGCTGAGGTGAGAGTGGAGGGCTCGTCATTGCTCAGTATCCTGTCCACTGTCACCCCTGGTATAGGCAGCAGGAAGACAGGTAAATACCTTGTACCAACTCCAATACACACATACAATACTCTACTTCCCCCAAACACACACACACACACACTTGACAGATTGTGGACCCCCAGGTAGTTGATAAAGGCCTAATATTTCTTGTCTCATCTTTCAGGGTTGCTCTTTGATCCCCGGCCCTCAGCATCCCTCGTCCACCTACAACCCCAGGCTACAGGGAGTACTGGACTGCAGCTTGCCCCAGGCCCAGCTCCCATCCTGGGCCATGGACTTAACTCAAACCCTAGGACTTAAAGGGATGCCTGCTGTCCCTCCTCCTCACAGGATCACAGAGACTGCCAAGAGCCCCCTGCCCTCCTCCACCTCTCCCTCCTCCCCTTCCTCCTCTCCCGCCTCCCCACCTTCCTCTTCATCCTCCTCTCCTGGCACCGTGGCAACCAGCTACCACAATGACATCCAGGAAGGCAGGACCAACAGCGTGACGGTGGGTGACGTGGTGTCCTCCACTTCTGCTTCCCTGGCTCCCCCCTCCTCCCACTCTGACCCCCCTTTCTCCTCCTCTGATCCCTTGTTATGCCTCTCCTCCTCACCCCAAAGGGGAACCGACGGACAAAAAGAGGGCGAGACGGAGATCTATGACCCGTTTCACCCCACGGAAGGAGAGAGGGAGGGAGGAGCGGCCGAGGAGGAAGAAGGGGAAAAGTATGACCCCTTTGATCCGACCGGCTCACCCCCCTCAGCGAGAGAGGAGGAGGAGCGAGAGATGGGGGGAGGGAGGGAGAGAGGGAACAGCGTGAGCAGCAAGGGGAGTGATGCCAGAGGGAAGAGAAGGAAGGCAGAGACAGGGAGGACAGGAGGAGAGGAGAAAGACAATGCTCCTCCAGACTCCACGGACGCTCTCTCTGTTCCCCCGCTCTCCCCGCGCTCCCTCCCTCTCCCCCTCCGGAGGAGGCTGGACCGATCCAAAGAGCCCCGGGTGAAAGTACGGGACAGGAGAGAGAAGGCGGACCACTCGGACCACTCTGAGATTGAGGAGGGTGAGATCGTGGGGGCCAACGAGAGGGACGGAGGGAAGAGGGAGGAGAGAGGCCGGGAAGGAGTTCTTCCTCTCGTCCTCCCCATCTCCTCCGGCAGTCCTTTCCTCCACGGGGGAGCCAAGCCGGAGAGGATCCTGAGGGTGCTGGACGGGGACAGCTTTGTGTCGGTGCGGGCTGAGGGGGACTGGGCGGGGCCGGTGATGCCTGGCATGGAGGATGGGGAGCCCATGGAGGAGGAGGAAGAGGAGGAGGTGGTGGTGGTGGTCGGGGCGGAAGATCTGAGGAGGAAGCTGGTAAGCCGGCGTAAAGCGAGATACCGCTCCTCCTCCCCCCCCTCCCCGCACACCGCCGAGAAGGACAAGAGCCGCAAGTCCTGCAAGAGCTCCAAGGAAAGGGAGCGGCGCAAGCGGAAGGAGGGCAAGGTAGGGGAGGAGGAGGAGAGGAGGAGGAGAAAGAAAAGGAAAGAGAAGGATGGCGGTGGAGAGAAGAGTGGGGAGAGGAAGGATAGACACAGGGAAAGGGAGAGGGGGCGGCGGAGTGAGAAAGAGAAGAAAACAAAGGTGGAGGAGGAGAGAGGGAGGAGCAGCAGAAGCGATAGTAGGAAGAGGAAGAAGAGACGACGGAGCACTCCGGAATCTTCAACACGCCCCCGCTCACAAAACTCCTCAGTGCAGCAGACGCACAGGGGCCGCTCCTGGTCAAACACTTCAGAGGACCGACACAGAGAGAGAGACGGGGACAGAGACAGAGAGAAGAACAGAAACCGGTACAGAGATGGGGAACGAGACGGAGATCGAGACAAGGACAGAAAGAAAGACGACACCCGGAGAAGGGAGAGGAATGGAGACTCCAGCCGGATAAATAGGGAAAGAGAGCGAGACGGCGTCCGCGAATCGACCAGCCGAGAAAGAGGCAGCTCCAAGAGGTCCAAAGGAAGCATAGAACGAAGGCACCGGGACAGAGAAAGGCACCGGGACAGAGAAAGGGACAGGGAGAGACGTCGAGACGGTCGACCCGTGGTGCCGCCGTCCATCCAGGATCTCAATGGCTCTGACCTGTTCGCCATCAAGCGCACCATCACGGTCACCACAACCACCACCACCACTCTCCCCGGTTCCCCCCCGCTGGCTCCATCCTCCCCCCGCAGCCCCTCCCAGGGCTCCGACAAGCCCCACAAGAGGCAGAAGAAGAGGCGTCGGCGCTCGGATGAAGGGTTGGAAGACCGCATGGGCCGGCATGGGAGCCGCTCCCTCTCGCCGCCGTCACATTACCATGGCTACGACTCTGACCACTTCTCAGACAAACTGGAGATAGACATACACTCTCTGGACGGAGAGGCCCTGGACTCAGACTACCCCTCTATAGAAGACTCCCCACCCCCTCCCCAGCCTTTGGAACCTGCTGCCCCCAGCCCAAGCGCCAAACCAAAGACCGCCACCAAACCTGGACGCCACCACTTCAAGAAGAAATCCCGAACGGGCAAGAAAGCTGGTCAGTCCGAGTCGTCCTCTTCCTCCTCAGTTCGACCCAAAGGCAAGGGGCTCGCCATCTCTTCACTCTCCCCGACCCAGGCACCCTCCGGCCCGGCCTCCGCCCCAGCCACCCTCCCCTCCTCGGCCAAACGAGGGCGGAAGATGGGGAAGGAGAAAGAGCGTGGTGAAAAAGGAGGAAAGAAAGAGTCTGGTCGGTCTGGCAGGTCCAAGAAATTGAGCGGAGGTGTTGGGAGGAAAGCCAAGCTGCAGTCCAAAGTGTCAGTGCTGGTGCGTGAGGGCGTGAGCAGCACCACGGGGGGCCCGGTGGGCTCAGGGAAGCTCGGCATGGAGCTCCTCGGTGCGGGCGGGCCAGTAGGGGGCTCTGGGGGGCCGGTGGTGGGTGGCTCCATTGCAGTGGTCTTTAGGAGGGACAATGAGAGCAGGTCTCCGTTCCTCAAGCCCTGCTCTGAGCCTCTATTGCTGAGTGGACGCAACAAGGACCTGGGGAAGGTGGGCAAACGCAGTTCCCTGGCCGCTCCTCCTTCCTCCTCGCTGGCCAATCCCACGGTGGCAGCACTGAAGTCCAAGAAGGCCAAGCCCAGCTCCACCACCTCCACTTCCTCCTCGGCATCTTCGCCCTCATCGTCCCTGGCAACCAAGCGTAGGCGGCGGCTTGCGAAGAAGACGCGGGGAGAGAAAAGCTTAGCCGGTGGTTTGACGGACATGGATGGCGCCTTGGCCAACTGTAGCTCTGAGGGCGGCGGCTGGGGTGGGACTTCCTCCGACATCCAATCAGGAGTCGGGGCTAAACCCTCCAGTCCGCACTCCGGTCCAGCCGGTCCAATCCCTTCCTCGTCCTCTTCATCATCGTCCTCTTCCACCAGTGTCCTCCCCCCGTCCTCCTCACCCCCCCACACTTCTCCGCCCTCCCTCCCCGCCTTGCGTGATGCTCGGGAGTCCTCTCCTGACTCTCAGACGGTGGACAGCAGCTGTAAGACCCCCGAGCCCTCCTTCCTACCCGAGGACTGCCCCGCTCAGACCCAGAGCACCCCCAACCTGCCCCCCTCCAGTCCCCCGGCCCTACCCTCCTCCCAGGGGGCAGGCCTCTCACAGTACGGCCCCTCCAACATGAAGCCCCTCCCTCTGGACGAAGGCTCCAAATCTTTGGCCTCACCCCCTTGCTCCTCCTCATCTGGCTCTGTCCCCGCCTCTCTCTCACTTCCTCGTTCCTCCACAGACCCCTCCTCCTCTTCCTCCTCTTCTGTTTCTTCCTCCTCGGCCAACAAGCTGCCACCGCCTCCTCCTCCCCCTCCTCCTGCTGCCCCTACCCTCCCCTGGAGTCTGCAGACAGGAGTGGACTGCACGGCCGGAGGAGTTTTAGCATGTAAGTCTCTGTCAATAGCATTCATTATAACAACGTTTTGGTGGAGGGGCATTACATTTTTGTGTATTCCTGTTGCTACTATGAAGTATATAATATGTATAAGGTTTAACTCTCTGTATTTCAGTGACAGCTCTGCTGTTTAAGATGGAAGAGGCCAATATCGCAAGTAGAGCCAAAGCCCAAGAGTTCATCCATGCTACAAGCCAGGTGTGTGTGTCTTTGAGTAAATTATGTTCCGTTATGTGTGTGTGTATGTACAGTTGAAGTCGGAAGTTTACATACACCTTAGCCAAATACATTTAAACTCAGTTTTTCACAATTCCTGACATTTAATCCTAATAAAAATTCCCTGTCTTAGGTCAGTTAGGATCACCACTTCATTTTAAGAATGTGAAATGTCAGAATAATAGTAGAGAGAATGATTTATTTCAGCTTTTATTTATTTCATCACATTCCCAGTGGGTCAGAAGTTTACATACACTCAATTAGTATTTGGTAGCCTTTAAATTGTTTAACTTTGGTCAAATGTTTTGGGCAGCCTTCCACAAGCTTCCCACAATAAGTTGGATGAATTTTGGCCCATTCCTCCTGACAGAGCTGGTGTAACCGATTCAGGTTTGAAGGCCTCCTTGCTCGCACACGCTTTTTCAGTTCTGCCCACACATTTTCTATAGGATTGAGGTCAGGGCTTTGTGATGGCCACTCCAATACCTTGACTTTGTTGTCCTTAAGCCATTTTGCCACAACTTTGGAAGTATGTTTGGGGTCATTGTCCATTTGGAAGACCCATTTGCGACCAAGCTTTAACTTCCTGACCGATGTCTTGAGATGTTGCTTCAATATATCCACATAATTTTCCTTCCTCATAATGCCATCTATTTTGTAAAGTGCACCAGCCCCTCCTGCAGCAAAGCATCCCCACAGCATGATGCTGCCACCCCCGTGCTTCACGGTTGGGATGGTGTTCTTCGGCTTGCAAGCCACTCCCTTTTTCCTCCAAACATAACGATAGTTATTATGACCGAATAGTTCTATTTTTGTTTAATCAGACCGGAGGACATTTCTCCAAAAAGTACGATTATTGTCCCCATGTGCAGTTGCAAACTGTAGTCTGGCTTTTTTATGGCGGTTTTGGAGCAGTGGCTTCTTCCTTGCTGTGCGGCCTTTCAGGTTATGTCGATATAGGACTCGTTTTACTGTGGCTATAGATACTTTTGTACCTGTTTCCTCCAGCATCTTCACAAGGTCCTTTGCTGTTGTTCTGGGATTGATTTGCACTTTTCGCACCAAAGTACGTTCATCTCTAGGAGACAGAACGCGTCTCCTTCCTGAGCGGTATGACGGCTGCGTGGTCCCATGGTGTTTATACTTGCGTACTATTGTTTGTACAGATGAACGTGGTACCTTCAGGCGTTTGGAAATTGCTCCCAAGGATGAACCAGACTTGTGGAGGTCTACCATTTTTTTTTTTTTCGGAGGACTTGGCTGATTTCTTTTGATTTTCACATGATTTCAAGCAAAGAGGCACTGAGTTTTAAGGTAGGCCTTGAAATACATCCACAGGTACACCTTCAATTGACTCAAATTATGTCAATTAGCCTATCAGAAACTTCTAAAGCCATGACATCATTTTCTGGAATTTTCCAAGCTGTGTAAAGGCACAGTCAACTTAGTGTATGTAAACTTCTGACCCACTGGAATTGTGATACAGTGAATTATAAGTGAAATAATCTGTCTGTAAACAATTGTTGTAAAAATTACTTGTCATGCACAAAGTAGATGTCCTAACCGACTTGCCAAAACTATAGTTTGTTAACCAGAAATGTGTGGAGTGGTTGAAAAACGAGTTTTAATGACTCCAACCTAAGTGTATGTAAACTTCCGACTTCAACTGTATGTGCATCAGTACAGTACCAGTCAAAAGTTTGGACACACCTACTCATTCAAGGGTTTTTCTTTATTTTTTACTATTTTCTAAATTGTAGAATAATAGAAAAGACATCAAAACTATGAATCATGTAGGAACCAAAAAAGTGTTAAACAAATGAAATTATATTTTATATTTGAGATTCTTCAAATAGCCACACTTTGCCTTGATGACAGCTTTGCACAATCTCTTGGCATTCTCTCAACCTGCTTCATGAGGAATGCTTTTCCAACAGTCTTGAAGGAGTTCCCACATATCCCTTCACTCTGTGGTCCAACTCATCCCAAACCATCTCAATTGGGTTGAGGTCGGGTGATTGTGGAGGCCAGGTCATCTGATGCAGCACTCAATCACTCTCCTTCTTGGTCAAATAGCCTTTACACAGCCTGGAGGTGTGTTGGGTCATTGTCCTGTTGAAAAACAAATGATAGTACCGCTAAGCGCAAACCAGATGGAATGGCGTATCGCTGCAGAATGCTGTGGTAGCCATGCTGGTTAAGTGTGCCTTGAATTCTAAATAAATCACTGACAGTGTCACCAGCAAAGCACCCCCACACCATCACACCTCTTCCATGCTTCACAGTGGGAACCACACATGCGGAGATCATCCGTTCACCTACTCTGCGTCTCACAAAGACACGGCGGTTTGGACTCCAGACCAAAGGACGATTTCCACCGGTCTAATGTCCATTGCTCGTTTTTCTTGGCCCAAGCAAGTCTCTTCTTCTTATTGGTGTCCTTTTAGTAGTGGCTTCTTTGCAGCAATTCGACCATGAAGGCCTGATTCACGCAGTCCCCTCTGAACAGTTGATGTTGAGATGTGTCTTACTTGAACTCTGAAGCATTTATTTGGGCTGCAATCTGAGGTGCAGTTAACTCTAATGAACTTATCCTCTGCAGCAGAGGTAACTCTGGGTCTTCCTTCCCTGTGGCGGTCCTCATGAGAGCCAGTTTCATCACAGCGCTTGATGGTTTTTGTGACTGCACTTGAAGAAACTTTAAAATTTCTTGACATTTTCCGGATTGACTGACCTTCATGTCTTAAAGTAATGATGGACTGTCATTTCTCTTTGCTTATTTGAGCTGTTCTTGCCATAATATGGACTTGGTCTTTTACCAAATAGGGCTATCTTCTGTAATATACCCCTACTTTGTCACAACACAACTGATTGGCTTAAAATGCATTAAGAAGGAAATAAATTCCACAAATTAACTTTTAACAAGGCACACCTGTTAATTGAAATGTGTTCCAGGTGACTACCTCATGAAGCTGGCAGAGAGAATACCAAGAGTGTGCAAAGCTGTCATCAAGGCAAAGGGTGGCTACTTTGAAAAATCTCAAATATATTTTGATTTGTTTAACACTTTTGTGGTTACTACTTGATTCCATGTGTTATTTCATAATTTTGATATATTCACTATTAATCTACAATGTAGAAAATAGTTTAAAAAAAGTAAAACCCTTGAATGAGTAGGTGTGTCCTAACTTTTGACTGGTACTGTATATACTAGGCGGTGTCAGATGAAGGCCCCAGTCACCCAAGTCATAAACTGTTCTCTCTGCTACTGCACAGCAAATGGTACTGGAGCGCCAAGACTAGGTCCAAAAGGCTCCTTAACAGCTTCTACCCCCAAGCTCTAAGACTGCTGAACAATTAATCAAGTGGCCACCCGGACTATTTACATTGACACCCACCCCTTTGTTTTTACACTGCTGCTACCTGCTGTTTATTATCTATGCATAGTCAGTTTACCCCTATCTACATGTACAAATTACCTCGACCAACCTGTACCCCTGCACATTGACGCAGTACCAGTACCCACTCGTTATTGTTATTTTATTGTGTTACTTTTTATTTTATTTAGTAAATATTTTCTCAACTCTATTTCTTGAACTGCATTGTTGGTTAAGGGCTTGTAAGTAAGCATTTCACGGTAAGGTCTACACCTGTTGTATTCGGCGCATGTAATTTTCAAGCAGATTTATGTCAAAACTGTAACTAAGCCACTCAGGAACATTCAATGTTGACTTGGTAAGCAACTCCAGTGTATATTTGGCCTGGTGTTTTAGATTATTGTCCTCCTGAAAGGTGAATTTGTCTCCCAGTGTCTGTTGGAATGCAGACTGAACCAGGTTATACTCTAGGATATTGCCTGTGCTTAGCTCTATTCAGTTTCTTTTTATACTAAAAAAACTCCTTGGTCCTTGCCGATGACCAGCATACCCATAACATGATGCAGCCACCACCATGCTTGAAAATATGATGTGGTACTCAGTAATGTTGTATTTGCCCCAAACATAACACTTTGTATTCAGGACAAAGTGACTTTAGTGCCTTGTTGCAAACAGAATGCATGTTTTGGTATATATTTTTTAATATTTTTCTGTGCAGGCTTCCTTCTTTTCACACTCATTATATTAACGTAACTACAATGTTGTTGGTCCATCCTCAGTTTTCTCCTATCACAGCATGTAACTGTTTTAAAGTCACCATTGGCCGGGCCTCCCGAGTGGCGTGGCGGTCTAAGGCACTGCATCGCAGTGATAGAGGCGTCACTACAGACCCGGGTTTGATCCCGGGCTGTATCACAACCTGCCGTAAATCGTGAGTCCCATAGGGCGGCGCACAATTGGCCCAGCGTCATCCGGGTTAGATGAAGGTTTGGCACTTAACCCTAATTGCTCATGTAAGTCGCTCTGTATAAGAGCGTCTGCTAAATTACTAAAATGTAAATGTTTGGCTGGGGTGGCTTTACTTGGCTCATCGCGCTCTAGGGACTCCTTGTGGCGGGGTGCCTGCAGGCTGACCTCGGTCGTCAGCTGGACGGTGTGTCCTCCGTCACATTGGTGCGGCTGGCTTCTGGGTTAAGTGGGCGGGTGTTAAGAAAGGCGTGTTGGCGGGTCATGTTTCAGAGGACGCATGACTCGACCTTCGCCTCCCAAGCCCGTTGGGGAGTTGCAGCGATGAGACAAGATCGAAAAAGGGGGTAAAATAAAAATGTGCCAAACAAAATCACCATTGGCCTCATGGTGAAATCCCTGAGCAGTTTCCTTCCTCTCCGGCAACTGAGTTAGGAAGGACGCCTGTATCTTTGTAGTGACTGGGTGTATTGATGCACCATTGAAAGTGTAATTAATAACTTCACCATGCTCAAAGAGATATTCAATGTCTGCTTCTTTTTTTTTTTTTTACCCATCTACCAATAGGTGCCCTTCTTTGCGAGGCATTGGAAAACCTCCCTGGTCTTTGTGGTTGAATCTGTGTTTGAAATTCACTGCTCGACTGAGGGACTTTTCAGATAATTGTATGTGTGGGGTACAGAGATGAGGTAGTCATTCAAAAATCATGTTAACCACTATTATTGCACACAGAGTGAGTCCATGCAATTTATTATGTGACTTGTTAAGTACATTTTAACTCCTGAACTTATTCAGGCTTGCTATAACAGAGGTTAAATACTTATTGACTAAAGACATTTCAGCCTTTAATTTCTAAAAACATAATTCCACTTGGACATTATGGGTTATTGTGTGTAGGCCAGTGACACAAAATCTCAATTTAATCCATTTTAAATTCAGGCTGTAACACAACAAAATGTGAAAAAAGTCAAGGGAGGTAAATACTTTCTGAAAGCACTGTATACGTGTTACATATTTGTCTTGGATTGTTTTGAAGGTGTTCGATATCTGACCAAACACTTCGTTTCTCATCATACCTTCCATCTCTCTCTCTCTCTTGCAGATTCTCTCCCAAACCAATCAGAACCATTCATCGCAGCATGCCCCTTCCTCTTCTTCCTCCTCCCAGGTTCATCCTCCCCCAGGCCCCACCCCTGCCCAGTTCATCCTGCACAGCTCTCTCCCATTGGTGGGCTGCACCAAAACCCTGCCCAGCCACCTGCACCCTGGCATGTCTATGGGTGGCGGCTGTGCCCAGACCCCGCCCCCTCCCATGCCCTCTGGGTTCTCGGGAGGGTCTGGGGGCTGTAGTGATATAGGCTGGGACAACGAGAGCAAGGACCCTGACAAGGTAGCACCATTAAAAACCATGTCTTTCTACTGCTCCCATATCTTCCAATTACTGGTGTGTGTGTGTGGAATGGAATAAGGTCATCAGACTATCAGTACAGTACTGCATAGTGTCTTCACGATACCAGAATGTTTACTTCATTACCGATACCAGGTTTAGTATCACGATGCTCGATACCAAAACGATACCACGGCAAAAAAGGCATATTAGCCAAAGTCACAGAATGGCACTTGATCCAGACAGATGGACTCAGCTACTGCTCTGTTGAATCGTTGAGTTCAATATCATTACATTTGCATTTTTTCGCATACAATTTTTTCAGAGACAGCCATGTATGCATTAATGAATCAATTATACAATCATGCAATCAGTTTGACTTTGTTTTTACCATTTTATTTGAATGGTAAATCTTTATTGGGTAAATCAAGCTGTATCATATTCAATAGGAGTGTGTGAATGCGTTGAGTTATTGAACTTGTTTTGGGTGATTCCATGGGGCTACAGATGACAAACCATTTCCCATCCATTTGGGACACATTTTATTGTGTTCATCAACAACATTTGCATAGAAGTAGCTTTTTTCATAAAAATGTGTGTTGTCTCTTCAACCAGTAATGATGTCATTCATGAAACAGTCAGTTCACTGACGGAGAGATGTGACAGACAGACCGAAATAAGTGAATCCATGAAGTTTTTAGTAGCAATCAGCTTTGAAATCAACATATTCTGCGTTATAGTTTGCATATTATCACAAAGTCTAGGGTAGTGAATTGATGTTAGCTTTAGCTGTCACCTAGCAAGGAAAGTTAGCCTACAAAGCTGGACACTGTATATTCTTCCATTGTAAAGGGTTCTAGCCTGTATCGATCGACATTGTTTTGCGAACAGTAATGAACAGTTTCAACATCTACATGCCTTGTCGAATTATTCAAGTCTGTTAATTTCTGTGCAGCATGAGTGGGGAGCTAACATGATGCAGCCCAGACTCCCAGTGCACACTAGCAATAAGCAAGTGGAGCAGGCACTGTGGGCGCTATAATAAGGGGTCGGCTGCGCTGATAAGACAGGCTTGATCCGTGAGACACATTTGACAGAAGTACCGAAAGTAACAAATTCTACTGCAAAACAGTTTTTCATGTTCTGGTATTGAAAGGGTACTGACGTTTTGGTATACCGTGCAACACTGGTATACACTGCACCTCTTATTTTATTTTTCTCTCTCTCGCTCTCAGTACCTGAAGAAGCTCCACACTCAAGAGCGTGCGGTGGAGGAGGTGAAGCTGGCCATTAAGCCCTACTACCAGCGTAAAGATATTAACAAGGACGACTACAAGGACATCCTGAGGAAGGCAGTGCACAAGGTAACCCAGCCCTCTAACCCTAAACCTGCTTTAGCTGCATTACATTGTTATTACATGGTTTAGCACAATGTTAGTGTGATGACATGGTTTAAGTACGGTGTTATTACATGGTTTAAGTACGCTGTTATTACATGGTTTAGTACAGTGTTATTACATGCTTAGTATATTATTACATGGCTTAGTAGTGTTACATGATTTAGTATAGTGTTATTACATGGTTTTGTACAGAGTTAACTGTGTTATTCGATGGTGTAAAACACCTTATTTTATGAATGACTTAATAAACAGTTGGTTCAGTAGTTGAATCAGGTGTGTTAATGCTGGGCTGGAACAAAAAAGTCTGCTCAGCAATGGTTAGGCTTTTGGGTTTAGGCTGTAGTGTCTCTCAGTAACAGAGTGTAGGTGCATTTTGTTCTGTAGGAATAACAATTGCTGTTCAACCTGTTTGTGACTTGCACATTTTAAAAAGATTGGCAAACACAATTTAAAAGATTGGCATAATTACTAGACTGAGTAGTGTGGTGTCGATACAATTACTTTGATGTGTTTGTGAATGTTTATAGAATTTCCATAAACAGGTATTGGCAGTTGTTGGAAGTGTGGTATATTTAAGCAATAAGGCCCGAGGGGGTGTGTTATATTGGCCAATACACTGAACAAAAATATAAACGCAACATGTTAAGTGTTGGTCCCATGTTTCATGAGCTGAAATAAAATATATATATAAAAAAAAAACATATGCACAAAAAGCTTATTTCTCTCAAATTTTGTGCACAAATTTGCTTACATCCCTGTTAGTGAGTATTTCTCCTTTGCAAAGATAATCCATCCACCTGACAGGTGTGGCATATCAAGAAGCTTATTAAACAGCATGATCATTACACAGTTGCACCTTATGCTGGGGACAATTAAAGGTCACTCTAAAATGTGCAGTTTTGTCACACAACACAATGCCACAGATGTCTCAAGTTTTGATGGAGCGTGCAATTGGCATGCTGACTGCAGGAATGTCCAGCAGAGCTGTTGCCAGAGAATTGAATGTTCACAAGCCACGTCCAATGCCGTTTTAGAGAATTTGGCAGTATGTCCAACTGGCCTCACAACTGTAGACCATGTGTAACCACGCCAGCCAAGGATGTCCACATCCGGCTTCTTCACCTGCGGGATCGTCTGAGACCAGCCACCTGGACGGACAGCTGATGAAACTGTGGGTTTGCACAACCGAAGAATTTCTGCACAAACTGTCATAAATCGTCTCAGGGAAGCTCATCTGCGTGCTCTTCGTCCTCACCAGGATCTTGAACTGACTGCAGTTTGGCGTCGTAACTGACTTCAGTGGGCAAATACTCACCTTCGATGGCCACTGGCACGCTGGAGAAGTGTGCTCTTCATGGATGAATCCTGGTTTCAATTGTACTGTGCAGACGTGTGGGCGAGCGGTTTGCTGATGTCAACGTTGTGAACAGAGTGCCCCATGGTGGGGTTATGGTATGGGCAGGCATAAGCTATGGACAACTAACACGATTGCATTTTCTCTAAGGCAACTTGAATGCACAGAGATACCGTGATGAGATCCTGATGCCCATTGTTGTGCCATTTATCCGCAGCCGTCACCACATGTTTCAGCATAATAATGCACGGCCCCATGTCGCAAGGATGTGTACACAATTCCTGGAAGCTGAAAATGTCCCAGTTCTTTTATGGCCTGCATACTCACCAGACATGTCACCCATTGAGCATGTTTGGGATGCACTGGATCAACATTTACGACAGCATGTTCCAGTTCCCGCCAATATCCAGCAACTTCTCACAGCCATTGAAGAGGAGTGGGACAACATTCCACAGGCCACAATCAACAGCCTGATCAACTCTATGCGACGGAGATGTGTCGCGCTGCATGAGGCAAATGGTGGTCACACCAGATACTGACTGGTTTTCTGATCCACGCCCATACATTAAGGTATCTGTGACCAACAGATGCATATCTGTATTCCCAGTCATGTGAAATCCATAGATTAGGGCCTAATGAATTTATTTCCTTCATATGAACTGTGACTCAGTAGAATCTTTGTATGTTGTTTATATTTTTGTTCAGTGTACTGTGGCCAAGGGCTGTTCTTATGCACGACACGAAGCCGTATATTGGCCATATACCACAAACCTCAGAGGTGCCTTATTGCTGCTATAAACTGGTTTCCAACATAAAAAGAACAGTAAGCAAGTATTTTTGCATCATACCCGTGGTATACAGTGGGGAAAAAAGTATTTAGTCAGCCACCAATTGTGCAAGTTCTCCCACTTAAAAAGATGAGAGAGGCCTGTAATTTTCATCATAGGTACACGTCAACTATGACAGACAAATTGAGGAAAAAAATTCCAGAAAATCACATTGTAGGATTTTTTATGAATTTATTTGCAAATTATGGTGGAAAAATAAGTATTTGGTCACCTACAAACAAGCAAGATTTCTGGCTCTCACAGACCTGTAACTTCTTCTTTAAGAGGCTCCTCTGTCCTCCACTCGTTACCTGTATTAATGGCACCTGTTTGAACTTGTTATCAGTATAAAAGACACCTGTCCACAACCTCAAACAGTCACACTCCAAACTCCACTATGGCCAAGACCAAAGAGCTGTCAAAGGACACCAGAAACAAAATTGTAGACCTGCACCAGGCTGGGAAGACTGAATCTGCAATAGGTCAGCAGCTTGGTTTGAAGAAATCAACTGTGGGAGCAATTATTAGGAAATGGAAGACATACAAGACCACTGATAATCTCCCTCGATCTGGGGCTCCGCGCAAGATCTCACCCCGTGGGGTCAAAATGATCACAAGAACGGTGAGCAAAAATCCCAGAACCACACGGGGGGACCTAGTGAATGACCTGCAGAGAGCTGGGACCAAAGTAACAAAGCCTACCATCAGTAACACACTACGCCGCCAGGGACTCAAATCCTGCAGTGCCAGATGTGTCCCCCTGCTTAAGCCAGTACATGTCCAGGCCCGTCTGAAGTTTGCTAGAGTGCATTTGGATGATCCAGAAGAGGATTGGGAGAATGTCATATGGTCAGATGAAACCAAAATAGAACTTTTTGGTGGTAACTCAACTCGTCGTGTTTGGAGGACAAAGAATGCTGAGTTGCATCCAAAGAACACCATACCTACTGTGAAGCATGGGGGTGGAAACATCATCCTTTGGGGCTGTTTTTTTGCAAAGGGACCAGGACGACTGATCCGTGTATAGGAAAGAATGAATGGGGCCATGTATCATGAGATTTTGAGTGAAAACCTCCTTCCATCAGCAAGGGCATTGAAGATGAAACGTGGCTGGGTCTTTCAGCATGACAATGATCCCAAACACACCGCCCGGGCAACGAAGGAGTGGCTTCGTAAGAAGCATTTCAAGGTCCTGGAGTGGCCTAGCCAGTCTCCAGATCACAACCCCATAGAAAATCTTTGGAGGGAGTTGAAAGTCTGTGTTGCCCAGCGACAGCCCCAAAACATCACTGCTATAGAGGAGATCTGCATGGAGGAATGGGCCAAAATATCAGCAACAGTGTGTGAAGACTTACAGAAAATGTTTGACCTGTGTCATTGCAAACAAAGGGTATATAACAAAGTATTGAGAAACGTTTGTTATTGACCAAATACTTATTTTCCACCATAATTTGCAAATAAATTCATAAAAAATCCTACAATGTGATTTTCTGGATTTTCTTTTCTCATTTTGTCTGTCATAGTTGACGTGTACCTATGATGAAAATTACAGGCCTCTCTCATCTTTTTAAGTGGGAGAACTTGCACAATTGGTGGCTGATTAAATACTTTTTTTCCCCCACTGTATTGTCTAATATACACACGGCTGAAATGCTGTTTCAGCCAATCAGCATCCAGAATGCAAACTACCCAGAATATGTAACTATGTTCCAGCAGTTACAATTTGAAGTAATTACAGCGTAATTACTGTGTAGTTACAGTTTAACAACCATTTGATATATAGTGTGTTTATGACTAATACTGACCTATGTGTGGTTGTCTTTGCTTCTCAGATCTGCCACAGTCGAACAGGAGAGATCAACCCGGTCAAGGTGAGCAACCTGGTCAAGCTTTACGTTCAGAGGTACAAGTACTTCAGGAAGCACGGTCGAAAGATGGACGAGGAAGAGAGGGAGGACAGAGAGATGGATTCCTCCTATTGATTGGACCAGGGGTCGCTCTCCCCCTACTCCCATTGGTTCAGCCGCCCAAGGACCAGCCCCCCACTCCTTGCACGTGACTGGGCCCACTGAGGCCGTAGAGTGACAGTTGTTTTATTCCCCTCCCTATTTGCTGTCCCCATTTTAAACTCGTAACCCCCCCCCACCCCCTCTCTCGTCTCCTGTGTGTCTTGCTGTACAGAAATATTGAGTAGATAACCACGAAATATACACACGCAGTATATGAATAAAAAATAAGTACAATGTTGAGGGAGAGATGCAGAACACACATGCATACACACTTACGTGCGCACACACTGTACATACTGTAAGTACACTACACTGACTCTCTCCTTTTCTCTCTGTGTGGTATAAACCTGTCAAATAGTCAGGTTGTTGGTCGGTTGAATGGATGGATGGTTTAAATATAGAGAGTTGACACTTGATATTCTGTCCATGTCTTTTATTTGAAGTCTGTACACTAAGGAGCGGTTTCCAGAACACAGGAGATTCTCTATCGAGTTCGCTTTTAAGTACAGGACCAGGCTTAATCTGTTTGTGTACTCTGATCAGTGCTTAGGCAGAGAGAAATAAAAGAACACAAGGTGTCACTGTCCTACAAACTATGGATTTACAGGCTTGCAGCTGACCTGTCACTGACTGAGTGAACAGTTTAAAGGGTTGTTTCTGAACCAGGCTTAAATACTGTAGGTAATGTTTGAGTTATGTAAGAATGTAGACACTTTAGTTAAAATTAGAGCCACTTTGCAGCCTAAAGTAATTATACGCATCTCTGTATCCCTCTCTGTCATACACACACCGTTATCAAAACTGTTCGAATTTGGGCTAATCCTGACAACAGAGCTTTTCTCAACTATAATTGCTCTGGGTAGAAGTTTCCCATAGGAAGGCAGATCTAGGATCAGTTTTATCCTCCACACAATCCTTACCCTACCCATTAAAGGAGGGAACTGCAAAACTGACCTTAGATTGATTTGTAGGTGCAATTTGATATTACTACTCTGTGCTTAGTCTGTTTGAGTCTCCATTGGTTTCTATTAGTGTTAGAGAGGCATTTCTGTAGTCCATCACAAATGTGGTATCAGTCAATAAACGGACATAAAATTAAAGGGGAATACACATTGAAAGCATATGACTTGTGATGTCAGAGCTGACTGTTAAAAGTCTTCTGTGACTTGATGGTTTCACACGTTCCATTAATTTACAACAAAGTTAGAGCTTAATTTAAGTCATTATCAAATTTTTCACTCGTCGACGCCAGCAAATAGAATCATGTTGGAAGTTGAAGCTATAGACGGTGAGTCAACGTGTGTTGGGTGCCTGGGATGTGTGAACTGTGATGGATGTATCAGCACACGCTCGTTCCTTTCATTGTAAGGTCTCCGGTAGTCACTGTTAGTAGGTGAACACCCCAGTTTTTTGTCTCTACAAGTGTTTGACTGGTCAGGCAGTCAGAATTGGAACCAATGGAACAGTCCCAAAAGAGTCAACTCCAAGCAACATCAAGAGCACCTCAAAACTGTGGAAGTATATAATTATTAGGGCTGTCAGTTAATCTGTTTTAATAAACTTTTTGTAATTTTAGTTCACCATTTTCTTTTTAATCACGATTGATCACATTGTTTGAAAGTGTTGGAAATACATTGAAAACATCCAAAATACATGATCTATACAGCTAAAATCTACAAGTTGACATTGAGGTTAAATAAAGTGAGCTTTCTCAATTTACCTAATTTGCTAACCGTTAGACAAAATCAAGACCTCATGAAACTTGTAATGTTTTTTGTATGAAAAGTCTTAAAGGGCAACTCAGCCACTTTTCAACCTCATATTCATCATCTCCAGCACTAAACCAGTGTCTACATATATGAAAACGGCGCATTTATATCAGGGGCAGTCGCCATTCCCTAGCTCAAGACCAGAAATGTTAAGTAGGCAAAAATAGAAATAGACTAAAATCATTCCAATCCTGATTAAAATGCAACGGCTGTTTAGCGTGGGCTGGCTTTAGGACCATGCAATGCATCGCTCGGAGAGCAGCTGCCAGCCTGCAGCCTTTTTTCTCACTTTTAGAAATTAGAGAAAGTGCCAGTTTGTTTTGCCAGTCTGCCATTTAGGCAGTGTGCCAATTGCTTTGAATTTGATGTCTACATTTGAACACGTAAACCTTGTTGTAATCTGATAGCCAGGGGTTAATTGAATTGGGAAGTGGGCAATGTTCCCTCTTTTTTTCAGTACTGAGCAAATTTCATGTCTGCTGAGCGCAAACTTGAATTTTGTGAAAATTCTGTGCAACTTCCAGCACACTTTTACTGTGAACACTGAGGCTGTAACCGCTTTAAATTACAGTTTTAACAATGGCCAAGTAGGCTGCTGTGGCTATTTGATCATAATTTAGGCCTACCAGAGTGGCCTGCTATCAAAAACATTTTACCATGACAATAGCTGTTCTATCATTCAGCCTACAGTAGCAGCCAATGTGTGGTGTTCAATGTAGGCCTAAATTCCATTAGACTTTTGAAAAAAACATGCCGGGCTTGACATTAACCTCTTTTCCACTTGTTCTTCAGACAAGGTGACTGAAAAAATTATTCCCATACCATTATTACAAAAAATCGGACAAATTATGCTACCCTCTGCCGATTGGCTACTTACCTTATTCAAGCATGTCAAAATACAACACTGCCACTTTAAGACAAAAAAAATAGCTCTTTACCTGTCTAGAGATGTACGCGTTTTCTGCTCTTGTAGGAAGCAATCACTCCCCTATTGCTGACTACAAATGATCTATAACTGGGCTAATAACTCACTAACTAGCAAAGGACTAGCAAACAAAATGTGCACACGGGGCTACATGCAGCTCTTGCTTTGATCTCAAAACAAGCATATCTACTCACAACCCCAGCTGTAGAGCATCAACCTACAGGATCGGGTCACCGCCTTGATGTTAGCGGAGAACGACAGGGTGTTGTCCAGGGTCACGCGAAGGCTCTTTGCACTCTGGGAGGAGGACACAACAGAGTTGTCAACCGTGATGGCGAGATCATGGAACGGGCAGTCCTTCCCCGGGAGGAAGAGCAGCTCCGTCTTGCCGAGGTTCAGCTTGAGGTGGTGATCCGTCATCCACACTGATATGTCTGCCAGAGATGCGATTCGCCACCTGGTTATCAGAAGGGGGAATCTAGCTGGTTGGTTTTGATCCAAATCTTGGTGGCATAGCCAGTGCGTCATTTCAGCAAAAATGGTGGGTAAGGAATGGCAAAATGACTTCCTTAGCCAGCATAGGTTTTCAATGGCTTTGCTTTAGTGTGTAGGGTGCTGTCCATGGTGCTGATAGAGCGCAGTGGAGATTTCGCGCCCACCTGTCACTTCTTGGTCAAAAGCACTCAATGGTGTCGGCATTTGAACTGTTATGTTTGTTGTGGTATAGCGTGATATAAGCAGAATTCAATATAATTCCAATGCAAGAACCCAAATAACACCCCTGGGTGTATATTCGTAAAGTATTCAGACCCCTTGACCTTTTCCACATGATGTTACGTTACAGCCTTATTCTAAAATTGATTAAATCGTGTTTCCCCCTCATCAATCTACACACAATACCCCATAATGACGAAGCAAAAACAGTTTAGACATTTTTGTAAATGTATTACAAATAAAAAACTGAAATGTTTTATTTACATAAGTGTTCAGACCCTTTACTCAGTACTTTGTTGAAGCACCTTTGGCAGCAATTACAGAGTATTCTTGGGTATGATGCTACAAGCTTGGCACACCTGTATTTGGGGAGTTTCTCCCATTCTTCTCTGCAGATCCTCTCAAGCTATGTCAGGTTGGATGGTGAACCTTCGCCCCAGTCTGAAGTCCTGAGCACTCTGGAGCAGGTTTTCATCAAGGATCTCTCTACTTTACTCTGTTCTTTCCCACGATCCTACCTAGTCTCTCAGTCCCTGCCACTGAAAACATCCCCACAGCATGCTGCTGCCACCACGCTTCTCCGTAGGAATGGTGCCAGGTATCCTCCAGACCTGACGCTTGGCATTCAGGCCAAAGAGTTCAATCTTGGTTTCATCAGACCAGAGAATCTTGTTTCTCATGGTCTGAGAGTCCTTTAGGTGCCTTTTGGCAAACTCCAAGCGGGCTGTCATGTGCCTTTTTCCTGAGGAGTGGCTTCCGTCTGGCCACTCTACCATAAAGGCCTGATTGGTGGAGGGCCGCAGAGATGGTTGTCCTTCTGGAAGGTTCTCCCATCTCCACAGAGGAACTCTAGATCTCTGTCAGAGTGACCATCGGGTTCTTGGTCACCCCCCTGACCAAGGCCCTTCTCCCCCAATTGCTCAGTTTGGCCGGGAGGCCAGCTCTAGGAAGAGTCTTAGTGGTTCCAAACTTCTTCCATTTAAGAATGAAGGAGGCCACTGTGTTCTTGGGGACCTTCAATGCTGCAGAAATGTGTTGGTACCCTTCCCCAGATCTGTGCCTCAACACAATCCTGTCTCGGAGCTGTACGGACAATTCCTTCGACCTCATGGCTTGGTTTTTGCTCTGACATGCACTGTCAACTGTGGGACCTTATATAGACGTGTGTGCCTTTCCAAATAATGTCCAATCAATTGGATTTACCACAGGTGGACTCCAATCAATTTGTACAAACATCTCAAGGATGATCAATGGAAACCGCATGCACCTGAGCTCAATTTCGAGTCTCATAGCAAAGGGTCTGAATACTTATGTAAATAATGTATTTCAGTTGTCTTTTTTTTTAACCTTTGCTAAAGATTCTACAAACCTGTTTTCGCTTTGTCATTATGGGGTATTGTGTGTAGATTGCTGAGGATATTTATTTATTTTTCTTCATTTTAGAATAAGGCTGTAATGTAACAAAATGTGGAAAAAGTCAAGGGGTCTGAATACTTTCCGAAGGCACCGTATGTTGAAATTGTGAGAGTAATAATTAAATAATTTTTCGATTTCATTGTATTTCC